CCAAATTCATAAAAAATATATATATAAAAAACGGGTACGGGGCGGGGCGGGGAGTGCTATACCCGTCCCCGTCCCCGTCCCCGGCTTGCGCCAAGCGGGGATCCCCGTCCCCGTCCCCGAGACCCGATTTTTCGGGGAATCCCCGTCCCCGACCGGGGCGGGTGGACCGGGTTACCCGACGGGTCGGGGTCCATTCCCATCCCTATTTATGAACTCATATTTGTAAAGTAACAAATATACATCATTTTGCTATAATGAACCTCATTTATCACATTAAAATAATCAAATTACTTAATAAACACATCTTGAGTAAACTTGTCGCATCATATAACTTCTCGCATGACATGATGAGACAATCCTATTTCCTCGCAACACACGGGTGCGAGGACCACAACTCATCGCATCAAACCCAAACTTGTCGCATCACAAGAAGTGCGATAAACTCATTCCTCACATCATATATGTGCGATAACTACTTTTTATCGCATCAATAGGATGCGATAACTCTAAGTAATCGCATCACATAGATGCGACAACTTTGAGTCCTTGCATCATAATGATGCGATAACATAGAATACTTTGATAGAAAACCCAAATTTTAAAATTCAATGATTATGTCACTCTTATCCTGATATACATATCTCCCTGATATGTTACCCTTATTTCAACACATGATATAACATAACCAAAAACCCATGATTATGCTAATTATAACATTCAAAACAGTTTTATATTAACAACTCACATAAAGAACCACACGGTTCTACCTCCTCCCTCCTCAATTTTCAAATAAGGAAAGTTGGTAAAATTAAATTTTTATTAATGGTTTTCCTATTTCGCCAATTGTTGTGTTTTTATTAATGGTTTTCCTTTTTCTTTTTATCAATAAAAATAAAATACATCAAAATTCATAATTTTTAATTCCCTTCAAATAAAACTCAATATTGCTACATTTTTTTATATCACTGAATGTCATGATTTTTGTGTATAATGATTTTTTTAGATAATAGAACGTTTAGAAGAGCTCTATAAAGTTATTTTAAATTCGATCAGATTAGAACGGTGACAGTATTGAAAATTTGCAAATTTTAATAGAAAAATGGTTGAATTAGGGACTCTTTGAATAAATGCTTACTCACTAACCGGTAAGAGTTAACACTCTAATTTACTTTATCGTATAAGATTGTAGTCCATTAAACGGTATTGTATGCAACAATTTATCCGGTAAGCGCTTATTGGGTAAGAGTTGTCACCCTCACTTACTTGGTAAGACTCTTCATCATTATCATTGCCCTTACCATGCAAGATTCTCGACCCTCGTCATGTTTATCCGGTAAGGTAAATGACCCAGTAAGACTTTACCGGTAAGCGATTAGTAAACGACCCCGTTAATAATAAACTAGAAAGGTACTCGTGCAATGTAGCGAGATATATTTTGATTTTAATGTTCGTTTTATTTTTTGCCTCTATCGATGTTATACTGCGGTTTTTTGTGGTTTTGATAAAATGAAAATGTTTTTATTTTTGAATAAAATATAAATTAAAAAAAAATCGATATTCGTACGAAATTAACTATTTAAAAGTTCTCGTTTTTATGTAATTTCTTTAATTCAACTTTTTATTATCTATATCTATACTATATTATAAAGCATTTGGCTAAAACTCTTAAAAACTCTTAAAACTCTTAAACTCTTAAAAACTCTTAAAACTCTTAAACTCTTAAAAACTCTTAAACCCGTTCATCCTTATCCGATTTCATCCCATATCTGAATTCGTGTAACTAACTGCAGATAAATACAATCAAATACAGGATAAACATCTCATTTTAAATATA